GCTGGCATTAAAGAAGTACAGTCTCCAGTAACGCTTGAGCATTTCTGTGCATGGGCTGAGCCCATGGTTGTGCTAATTGCTGAGAAACGTAGACTTAAAAAAAAAAGAAAAATCATAGCTTGCCAATGGTGACGTCACTAGTCAGGCTGATTCTGAATTATAGGCTTTAGTAAATGTTTAGGATAGGACAATTGCACACTGTGCTTCAGACCAGTAATTCCTTACAGCTGGTTACACCATAATAAAATTAAAATAAAGGATTCTAGCTTTCCCTTCAGTCTTTTGTCAGTTACTTCTTGGACTTGGGCATTCATTTTTTTTCTTGGCTAATCATGTGTTAATGCACAAATATAAAATATTTTAGAATAATTTACCTTCTGTTACAGGGTCATTTGGTTTATGGTCTGAATGGTTTTTGAAAATACAGCTTTGAACACCATAAATGATTACATGAAATGGCTGACACAAGCCTTAGTTACTGTGAACTAGAATGTACCATGAGCTTGGAGCTTTGCTTCCAAGCCCTTTTAATTAGTAGACCAGGTCTGGATTCCAATTACACTCTTGTAATTCTGTTGCTTCCAATAAAGCAAAATTTGTGCTTGTATTTGCTGTTGAAATCAGTTTAGGTTCATATCTGCATCAGTCAAATTGAAATTTAAATACATGCTTTTTTTTTTTCCTACAAACTCTTGAGTGAAAAGTATCCTATTGTAAGAGCTCTTATTTTGTGTAATTAAACAGTTGGTCATTTCATACATTCAGACTTTCCAGCATGTTGTGATAGATGCATAGTCCAGGTGTTCATAATCACATAGGAATTTCTGCCATGGTTAAAAGTGAGTAATCTGGCCTTTCAAATAACGAATCACTTATCAGCAAGAAACTTAATTGCTCATAAGAAGCGTTTTGCAGTGAATCAGAGATTCTGCTCGTGCAATTATGGGTTTGGTCTTTCAGCCATTTTAAGATGTGATCCAAAGGTCTTGGACATCTGCTACACAGTTAACCCTAAGAAGATTAAATCTTGTTGAGGAAGAGTAAAACGTGTACACAGCGGAGAGGCTGAGCAAGGATTGCATATCACTTTGCTCTTCAGTGTTGGCTTAAACAAGCTATAAATAGCCTACAGGTCTATGTTAGTCCCATTCTATATCTGGACCAAGAGACAACGTGTAGCAGGATGAAGAATTTTGTGGAGACTGGGTAGGAAATGATTTTCCCATCTAATGAAAGAGCCTGAGATGTTGGATTTGTTTCACCCGCTAAAACGAGGGAAAGGGGAGCCTGGACAAGATCTCTGGGATATCAGAGACACAGGCTGGAGTCCCAAGATGAACATAAACTAGTATCTCAGGCTCCTGCAACCCAAGAAAACAATTTAGCTTTGTTGTAAAGGAATTGCCCATTTGTGACCCAAAAACTATGTCCTTGTTTGTTCAAACTAGAGCAACTCCTGCAGGAGAGACTGGAAGAGATTTTTTTTCCAGTCTGAATCAGCAAGGGCAACCTTGCAAATCTGCATTCTCTCTTTCCTCCCCCTGCAAAACTGGATTCTGGATCTGATATCTCCATTGGCCCCCAAGCCCCTCTTAACTGGTTGTTGTAATTGGTGAAACAGCCTTGGGAATTTTTCTGAACTCCCACCCAGACCATATTAGCTCCCCAAATCTTGCTGACTTAAAATTCTCTCAGCAGTCATTCACAAAGATGGATTGATATTAATGGTGGAAAAAAAAAATAAGGTTTCTGTTCTTACAGCATTTAATTTTGGAGTATAAAAGCAGATGCAACTCTCATAATGAGTAAGCTTGAAGGGAATGTTTCAGTCAGAGTTCCATTTCAGATGGAATTGCTTCATGGGTGATTTTGATTTTAGATGCTAATGGCTTTTTCAAAGAAAAAGTTAAGACCTGGTGACTTAGCCCACAGGTGTTTTCTCTTTTCCTTTTTTTTTTTAAAAAAAAAAAAAAGCAAAATCCCTCTCCAGGTTCTTGATAGTGCTGTATTATGAGGAAAAAAAAAATGCTGCCTATATGAATTTCCTAGAATAATACTAAACCCCTGCCAGCTGCATTTTACAAAGTATGAAACAAGCCATTCACTCAAAACGACACTCGGGGGGGGGCACGGACTGTTGTCCACGTGCCCTTCATTTTAATTTAATAGGCTTACTTTAGTGTGATTGGGTCTGTAATGCTATCCTAGGATTGCAGGAGTAAATTCTGAAAGCTGAGGCAGGGGGAAATCAGCTTTTATCAGCAGGTGCTGAGTGTCAGGGCCAAACACTGGCATTTCCTTTGCTCTTGGCGGGCCCAGCATCACTGAGCATTCCATGGCTCTGCTAGAACTGCAGGTGTGCAGCCCTTTGGCTAACCCGGTTATATACATAACTGCTTGTGCTGGAACTGATTGGAAACCAAATTTTCTCTCATTATTTTCTTTGGCTGCTCATGAGAAGATGTTCTGCTTTCTCTGTGCATCCTGCTTTTATTTAACAATTAAGGAAGGAGAGTAGCTGGGTGTTTCTACAAAGGTAATAACTCCAAATACCATTTTATCTGCTGTCAACCAGGACTCCTGGAACTGCCTGACTGAGCAGCGCTGCTGAAATACTCCTTGCGAAGCACCTTCAACTGGCTCAGCTTTTGCCGAGGTTTTGGCAGGCACTGCATGATGCAGTTGTAAAAAAAGTCTGAGTATCTAAGGCAGCGATTTGCAGACGGTGGTGTCTGAGGAGTTAAGCTGAACTGTAAACTGTGAGTTCATCAGCCCAGTGTAGCTGGTTTTGAGGTCAGAAAAAAGATGGTCTGTTAGCCCAAAATTTAGGGAATCTCAGCTCCGATGCTGGCCCATCGTTAATGGCAGGAGGATGTCTGCGTGTTCCCATCCCGCTGTCAGACCTGGTCCTTGGTTTGTAAGATTCCTGGCCCCAGAAATCCTGTGTCCTCCTGCCCAGAGCACTCACCGTTCTTGTGGGGAGATGGTGCTCCTTAAGGAACAGTTATTCTGTGTTTGCTTAGAAAGCATCATAGGGCTAATTATTCTCATTAGCTTTGAGCCACTAATAAATTATCTTTCCTATTGCTCTTCCATCACTCCGTAATGAGAGCCATTTAGTGAGATTTTGCAGATACTGCTTCCTCCCTCCTCTGCAACACCATCCCCTGCAAGCATTCATCATAGGAAAAAAGCTACATGAACAAAATCTTCTCAAATTAGTCTCTGGTGCCCCAGTTAAGTGGGTGGCTACATCACAGGCATGCAGAAGAGCCTTCTTCATTAATATGTGCAATTCTGCGTGAGCTGATTAGCTCTTGCAGTTCATTTGGTAGCAAATGTGTAAATCCGTCACACTCCAAATGCCAAATATGTGCACAGCTAAATTATGGAGAAGTAAGAAACTGCAAGAGTAGGAAGTCTTTTCTTGGAAGAAGAGGTCCTTACCCCATGCATTAAATTGGAGCCCTGGATTTATCTAGTGCATTTGTCACTCCTCTGCTTTGTCATTTTTATGCTTGCGAAACAAGTAATTCTTCCTGTCGTGTTGATGGCCCTTTCAGTATGTGTGGGTGTTCAATTTTGTGCCTAACATTTGTAACAGATGCCTGATATCTAGTCTCATTTCCCATAAAATAACAATAGCCACAACACAATGCAATCTTCCTTACACAGTAAGTGCTGAAAGCAAATTAACCAGTTACTAACTATGTATAATTAATAACCCAGCCACCATCACTCTTCTTGTTCTCTTTTTGCTTGTAAAAAACTTGAGAAAGAAGCGGGGAGAATGAAATTAAGTTTTTAAATGTCTCTTTTTTTTTTTGCAGGGCAGTGCTGCACGGTTAAATGGAATAGTGTAGCTGCCAGCACAAGGTAAGCACTAAAAATGTCACCTGCCTATGGGGAGGGGCTGTACTGCTGCAAGCATTAAGTGCCCTGAGTCAGCTACTCGGGGACCAAACAAGGAAATGGGCCTTGAGAGCTCCTGATTTATGCATGATTTTATTTCTTTTCATGCCAAGTAGCTGCAGAGCCAACTCAGCCTCAAGGCCTGGACTCACCAGCGCAGGCCAGCCCAGCACCCTCCATTTTGCTTTCTCTCAGTGTACAGGAAAATTGTAGCGCAGACCCAGGTTGATCTCGAACAAGAGCAATATTTTGGCATTATCTTCTGGCCATACAGGTTGTGGGAAAAGAGCTTTTTACTTCCCAAAAATTCTGCTGTGGGAAGCTGTCTTTTTCTAAGCTGAGCATAAACTCTCTAGACAACATTTCCTAGAAAACGTGCAGCATAATGACAAAAGTCCCATCGTGTAGCCTCCAGATTGCTGGTAATGGGACACTTATTCCTGTAGCCTGTCCTGTGAACATGGAACAGGGTGATCATGTCCAGTGTTTTCTGTTGCATCCCCAGCATGTACTGAAACCTCTCCAAGAGTGTAGGATTTGCTTACTGAAAGGGAAAGGACAGCTCTGTGCTCAGGCTGGCCTGCAGTGGATATGCAGTCCTCCCCAGGGACAATATAGAAAAGAAACTGTGGGTTGAGGCCTTTTTTTCCCTCTCTTTTCAGAAAGGAACAGGCTGTCTTCAAGGCAGACCGTCCTCCATACAGTGGGAGGAGAACAGGCCCACAAGAAACCTACTACAGAAAGGCAAAGCCTCAGTGTGATGCTGCCCAGCTCCTTGCAGGTCCCTTAGGACTCGGGGGTGCACAACTCCTTCTACCTGCAGCAGACCCAAGAAGGATACCACAGGACTCCTAATTTTCCTAAAACCCACCTCTGTGCCCAAGCCTGACTTAGGCAAGAGAGCAGAACAAAGAAAGAGTTCACTTCGTAATAAAGTCATGTCTCCAGTGAAGTTCCACAGTATTAGGTGCATTAGGTATATTTTTGACTGATGTATAATCTTAATTGTTGTGTACTGTTTGTATTGTAGTCCCAAGATCCAGGTCCTCATTGTGCTAGATGCTCTACAAATATATAAGAGACTGTCATGCATGGAAAGGCTTTTATTATGTAAATAGGCTGTGAAAAAAGACGTAGTGTTATCTGTGTTTTACAGATGAAGCAGTGAGAGGAAGAAAAAAAAGGAGAAAGCATTTTGCCCAAGGACATGGGAAGTCTGTGGGTCAGTGGTGCACTTGAAAGTCAGATCTTGATTTAGTTTCTTACCAGCTTTTCTAACTTGTAGTGCCCACAACATAATTAAAAATTAAGCACAAAGAAGACAATACCATGTGTAATTTATCTCTATCTAGAACAATCACCCAGGATCTCTCAGCCAAATTCTCCCCAACTCTTCTGTTTCTTCAAAAGCTGTATTTTTATCATGTCCAATGCTCGTGCTCACCTTACAAGTCAAGTCACAGTACATGTCCTCTCATTTTCTGCAGGTAGGTCATGTTTGAGTAGGATTACAAAGCTGTTTGGGAAAAGACCCAGTCTGGGGGTCTTTTCCCAAACATGGAGGGATCCTGTGTGGGGTCATGTCTCAAGTCACAGCAGCCTGCTGAATTTATATCAGAATCCTTTTAAAAAGTGGTATTACCAATATTTAGGATAAAAAAAAGGATGCATATACATTTCTGACAGTGAATGTAGCAAGGCATCCAATATATTTATAACTGCTGCCCGACCCTTCCTGCTAGTCAAAAATACATATTGCTGTAACTACCTAATCTATACCAAAGACAAATAAAACACAGATTTCACTCAAGAGGCATAATATATTTTGCTTTGTGTACATCAAGGTTTTATGTCAGGCTTTAGGAAAGAATGTGGGAGGAGAAAATTATAGAAGTCATCACAGTCACTGGAAAACAGAGTAAAATTGAATTGGCATTTACTAAGGCTGACTAATACCAGACTAATTCAATAGCTTTCATTGATACAGTAAGCAATTAGCTCAACAAAAAGGGAAATCTTACTGTCTGGACTTCAATAAAGTAGCTGATGAGAAGACGTGTATAAAATCGTGTCTCCTACGTGGAGAAGTCTGAGATTTATAGAGGAACTGCAAGGTGTTACAATGAGAGAAGTTAAGATGTGTTGAAAGGGAATTATTCAGTAAGCCTCAATGTTGATTATTATTATTTTCATTAATGACCCATTTAGAAAACAGAAGTGCCTGATCATTAAAATGTATTAAAGTCACAAAATTAGGAGGTATTATCAGTGTAAAGAAAGTTTATAATATCCCACAGCAAGAACTGAATGTCCTTGAAGAGTAAGGCCACAGAAGTAGTGGGCTAGCAGCAGAAAAATATCTGCCAGAAACCAGCAACAACACTGAAAGGTTTTTAACCGTTTGCCCCAGTGCATGTGGACATGGCAAAAGCAACTGAAACTGTAAAATGCAGTAGCAGAGACATTTCCAGAAGAGCAAGGGAAGCATGAATGTCATTGTAGAAGACTCCAACAAGATTTTGTTTGGAATTAGATGCATTATTCTCATCAATAACTTTAAGGAAAGCCGAATTCTTAATGGAACAGGTTAAGAAAAGGGCTGCTCAGATGTGGAGGAGATTGGAGAGCCTTTCATAAAAGGAAGGTGTGTGTATGCAGCTCGTTTAGCCTAGCAGCTGCAGACCGAGGTATGGTTTTATTATTCTTTGTAAATGCATCAGCAGAGTAAATATGAAAGGCAGGCAATCTTGGCATATAATCAAACAGGTATAAATTGGGAATGAATAATTTTGATTCCCTACTAGGTGTTCTTTATCCACCTGCATAGTGAGGGCGTAAAAATTAGGGGGAAAAAACCACACCTAGCTCCAACATGATGCTCATAGAATGTGTTAAATGCATTATGCAGTCCAGTTGCCTGCAGTACCAGGGGGCTGGATTTGATAACCCAGAAAGTCCTGCCAGTCCTACATATTAGCATATCCCTATGTATCCCTATGTCTTAGCAGGTTTCTATTGTACTGAGCTATCACCTCCATCTCATAATCTTATTAGATATTATAGTACCTAATAATCCCTTCAGTCCTAAGAAACCATTTTATCTTTCTAAATTAAATTTCAAGTAGAACATCCTAACTGTGGATTACAAAGCCGTATGTGTTTTATTTTTCTTACTCAAGTAAGTTTGTTGTGGCTGTTATCATAAACAAATTCCTTAAGGGACCAAGATCTGAATATACATTATAGTGTTTATGGCACAACTGTACCAACAAATAATGATTTCCTTATTTATTGTAATTGTTTAAATGGCTCTTAATGAAAATTTTGGCCTCATGAAGTGATCAGCTTGGAATGACTTTCCTTTCTATGAAAATATTTAAATACAAACAAAGTCTGCCAATGTGTTCAATTACAGTCATGTAGAGAACTAAAGGGATTATGCGTAGTAGGAATGTATTCATGTGGCTTTCCAGATCAGCTGCTTCTACCAGAGAGGGAATGAAGTAAGTGGAACAGCCCCAAAGAGAGACCGTTACTGTTGGGATGGCTTGGGACAGGATCATCAGAAAAGCTCACTTGTGTTATTTCCATAAGACCACAAAGCTGATGGCCCTGTAAATAAAACTGCATTAACAACACGTTGCTTTTCAAACTAATTGAGATGCAGTGTGAAGATTACTTTTCAGAAATATGATGTTCTTTATGCAGGAGATCATGCTGGGCCCTGCTGCAACAAGAGCCATTGGGATAATGATGCTCTATTTTGTTCTAACATCTGCATTTATTACCAGTGAGATACTTTATGTGATATTATGAGGTGGCTTCAAACTCGCAAAGCCCTTGAGAATTTAACACTATTGTTCCATGAAAGAAATGCTTCTGCCCATCACAGGCCCTAGCGCAGAGGGCTTTTGAAAGAGAAACAAGAAAATAAACTGGGTATTCTGCTGATGATTTTTATGACCTTGCTCACACTTCTGCTGATGCTGTGTTAGCAAGAACAGTTCATTCCAGTGAATATAATCTTAGCTCTTGTGATTACGGACACAGGCTTCTCTAAAACCTCTAAAACTAGATGCAATTTTTTTTTTTTTCAGAGTGCGGAATTGTCAGAACGTCACAAACAGCTGGGTTTTTAGCCAGCACCATGACTTCAGCAGCCTGGTTCAGAGTTTAAAGCATTTGTGATGATGCTGGGCAGCAGTCAACACATTCATGGATTCAGCATACCAGTATTTTCATGGGAATTTCCATTACCATCCAAGAAGCAGGAAGCACACTAATGGATTATTAGCCTGGTTTTCAGCTAAAGCTCCAGCTTGAATAATAACTCCAGCTTCAAGCACCACACTTTAAGAAAGATATATAAAAAAAAAATCTAGAGAAAGGAGCAATAGAATTATAAAGATAGACATAAGGGGTTTGTGGTGTTTTTGTTTGGTTTGTTTTTGTTTTTAATAAGATGAAAGGCTCTGGGTTTAATTAGCCTAAATCAAAGAAGGCTTTTATTTTCCCCATAAAAATGAGTTACAAAGTGGATCAGCAATCTGATACATTCCACAGTTTAATCTGCTGTAGAGAAAACTGAAGTTGAATTTTCTGAATGACCTTCTGAGGGCCCTTTCAGACCTCTGTGCTTCTCCTGTGACTCCATCATCAACAAGCACAACTACTGCCAGCCTCTCAGGCTGGGTAATTTTCCTTGGGGAAACCTGATTTAAAAGTCCTGTTTAAATCCAATGGACAAAGCCTAAAGGTCGTCTTCCCTACTTTTAGTCATCTAAAAACAAGGTGTAAAAGTGCGGCTGGACATGTCTGCTCCCCCTGCAGTGACTGAGGAGAAATAGCGACAAAGAGCTTAACAGTCGTCTATTTCCAGATCCTTAAACTTTGGTGAGATAAATCCCATCCTAACTTGTCTCTGAGTATGCACTGCTGGGTTTTGCTTTCAGCTGGCTCATAACACATTAAGCAAGCATATGGCTTCATTGTTTTGTTGTACCAGGTAACATGCCATCATCTCTGAGGGATCTGACACCACAGGATCCTCCCTGTCCTCCTCTCTTGTCAATTTATGATGCTGTCCATACCCTGTCTTTTACTGCTGCTCACCTCCTCGCCTCCTTTCAGAACACCTGCATTCCTCTCCACTCTTTGGTTTCCCTTTGCACTGGCTGGATTTACTTCTTACAAATCTCAGTTTTATCTCTGGCTGCAGCTTTTACTGATTTATTCAGTGCACAATGCCCCTCTAACAATGTTTTATGGCTTCCATGTATGTGGGGACTCAATGGGACAAGACTATTTTAAGTGTAACTGGCTTGTTAGCCATGCAAATTCTTGAATAACAGGTATGATTTAGTGTTCACTGTGAGAGCTGGGAGTGCTGGATTAATCTGATTCTGCCACTATCTCTGTCACTGACCTCATGCAATTTATGTAACCTCTTGGGGCCAGGTCTACCTGAAAATAAAGAATACTGTCTTCCCCTAGGAATGTGTAAGTCTTAACTAGTATATGTGTGTATAGTTTTTGAAGTCCTGTTTATGTAAATGCAAAACCCTTCAAAACATTTACAAAGGTCAAGAGAATTTTAGGGTTGAAACATAAACAGTTCAGAACTAGAAAAATTAAAATTACACACGTATGCACTTATCACAAACCTTTAGCAGCCTCTAATTAAGTAATCACTCCTTCTCAGCATTACAGTAGATGCTGTCATATGCTGTTAAATTGTGTAGCAGCTTGTAATACTGTGCACTCTGTTTACACAGGATAAGGACTTTCTGGAAATCATTCAGAATAATGTATCATCTGAACGTATGCTGTAGTTGTGCCTACTCAGTCAGGACTGAGATGTTCCCATGCTCAGCTCTACAAAAACCTGTCAGGGAACGCTGTTTTTTCCTGACAAGACACTAACTCAGAGACACAAAGTTGCTTATTCAAACAGGCAGACCCTCCATCCCTTGCCAGGCTGAAACAAGGCTTTTTGTGGTGCACATCTTTGGCAGTTTCCTCCCAGCAACCAGCTTTCGCTACAAGGATACTCAGAAAAGAACCTTCTCCTGTGGTCTCCAGGATATCCTTTTTTTTTTTTCTTGAGCTTTTATGTTCAGAGAAAAACTACTCCACTAAGCACCTTCAGGTGATCTCTCTCCTGCAGTGGCCCCTCTGCTCACCTGTGCCTGCCTTCCTCTCCTACATCTCCATGCCACCTGCATCTCCTGACTCCCCGCCTCACCACTTCCCTGTCTCTTCCTCTGAAAACAATCTTTCTCTTATTTCCATCTTCCCTCCACCTCTGTTGCTCAACTCCAGAGCCATAGTCAACCTCATACCCCCTGCTGCAGCCTTGTTTGACACAGACAGTTTGACTCCTCAGCTTGGCTGAGCTTTGCTTGAAGCACAGAGGAGAAAGCCTGGAGGTTGACAGGGCGAAGTTAATTTCCAGCAACAGCAACTTAGTAAAGAGATCATTTTATCACACCTGGATCACCAGCATTTTCAGGGGCAGGGAGTGAGGTGATGTCTCACAGGTATCCAGGGTTGCCATAGGTGTCCACTTAAAAATAGTCTATGCTGCTTAGAGAAGGCAGACTTAAGGCTGGAGAGTGTTAATATGCATCAGTGCTATCCTCCTGCTTATGTTGCTCCTAAGTGAAGCTCGGTAGAGCCCGTAAGTCCAGAGTGCAAGGTACATTATGATTTGGAGAAAACTCCAGGAACAAACTCGCCAACAAAGTTTTCAAGTTGACATGGAGGTGTTCTTTATTGCGGTGCCTCCCGCATGGGGGATAGCTCCTCCTAACGTGTATCAGCATATTGCTACACAAGCCGTCCTTGCATAGTCACTGGGCATACATACCTATTCATGAGGCTATGCGTGAATTACATCATTTTCCAGAAAGTTTCCTGCATGCGTACAAAAATGTGATGGTGGTCTTTGAGGGTCGTTTACTTCTCCCAACAATCTTCATAACTTCTGGCAGTCTTTGAAGCACCAGCTTAATTAACATCACAGACATAGCAATCATCCTGTCCTTCTCCCTATCAGTTTAACTGCTCCCACCCTGGACATCTGCTAGTCCCAGATACTCCCCATCCCCAGGTCCTGTTTTTTCTATTCTGTTTTTCTTACACTTTTTGTACTAAGGTCCTGAGGACCTAAACCTATGTCAACTACCTTCAAGCATGGCAGTTATTTTCCATTACAAAGCCATCAAACTTAATGTTACTTAGAACTGATTACATTTTGCTTATTTGTGCCTCCTTGCCTCAATTACCTCTACCCTGACGCTGTTTGCAATACTATAAGCACTTGGATAGTGAAGTAGTAACAGATGGAAGGAGAAATTAAAAGGCGTTAGCAAGGAAATAAGCTGCTTTCATTTCAGATTTGAGCCAATAGACTAAAATTGTATGATACAGAAGGAAAACAGTAATGTTGAAGAGCAATAGAGGGAGAAAAACATCCTTGTATCGGTAAAGAAACTAGTTGTAAAATAGGAATGTCACTTTGGGATTAGTAATGAGATTTGCAAATTTTATTTTTTGTATCGCCATTTATTGCCAGAACGTGCCCAGTTGGTTTGCCTGGAGCAGCTGGTGTCATCTCTGCGCAGTTCTTCTAGTGACAACTATGACACCATCAACCCTACCTCCTCCCCATCGGCAGCTGTATTTGCTGCCTCATCAGAAAACAGCCAGTGTTCGTCTTGTGACTTACACAGCACATGCCGAGGTCTGTATGTGCCCACTGACCCTGGTGGAAATTACGTAACTACAGTTGAACACTATTACACAGGAGAACCCAAGGAGCACAATTACTAAACCTCAGTTCTTTTGAAAATGAGGCTAATTAGAATCAGTCAAAGAGGTGTGAAGCAGAAAACCACCACTACCGTCCGGACACACTGGGGGCTCCTTGCAACACCAGTGGTGCCGGGACACTTCAAGTCGTTTGACCAACGGCCACCAACCCAGCGTCCCAGCCGGGCAGCCCTGTTCTGAGGGGCGGAAAGGCCTGCGCCAAGTTCCGCCACCGGGAAAGACTGATTCGCACCCCGTCCTCCTCACGAAGCCCACGCCGCAGGACGCAGCCACGCCAAACACCCCGCACACCCTCCCGCAGCACAGCACCGCCCCGCCCCGCCCGCGGAGCAATAGTGCTTCCGCGTCACGTGAGAGTCGTTCCCCCGCCGGCGGGGCGGGCGGGTGCGTGCGTGGCAGACGCAGACAGTACCCACAATGCCCGGCGCTCCCCGGTGCTGCTGCCGGTCCGCTCCGGTGAGGCAAGTACCTCCAGCCCCTCCCCCGTGGGGCCGTTGCCAGGCGACACGGAGTGCCCGCCGGCGGCAGGGGAGGCGGGAGGAAAGGAGGGAGGCCGAGGGACGGGACGGGACGGTGCTGGAAGATGCTGCTACAGGGCCCTGTGTCTCCCCGCTCTACCCCGGGCCGCGGTCTCGGTTTCCGCCTGCGTTGTTCTTTCAGCTACAGTCACGGGAGTGCCGGGGCACCTCGTGGCCGTCGATGTGACGGTGCGGGCGCAGGTCTGCTCCTGCGAGGCGAAGCGACTTGTCACCGGTTGTTCCGCCTTCCGGCCGCCCTCCTGCTGGGGTTACTGTGCCCTAGGGTGGCAGCCTGGCCGCTGGAGCTGCAGGATGAGGGAGGGGCCCGGCACCGGGGGCCTACAGCCGCGTGTCTCGCTGTTTGCTCCTGGCTGGGTGCAGCAGGCAGGACAGGTGCGGGAGGACACCGGCGGCACCTCAGGCCACTTCGTAAAGGCCGTTTCGTTTCGTGGTAGAAGCCTGTTGTAGCAGGGATCTGTTGCTGTCCCGGTTTGCGGGGTTAGGCCACAACGTTTTTGGATTAAGTTTTTCAGTCTAAGGCAGTATGAACCTATTTGAGTCAGTAACCACATTACTTCTTTCTGCTCTGCAGATAATAGTGTCAAAGCTACCATATAAATAGGTGGTAGATGAAAGGGTCAAGTTCCCAAACTTGGGCATGTGGCTTGTTCTGTTCCCTTAGTTTTTCATAATCTGGACGCTTTGAGTCCCTCTCTTTTTCCTATGCCTTATGGGAAGGATTATGTGGGCTAGTGGTTTAGGATTATTTCCTTGTCTGATCGTAGCTGATGATGTCAAAGTGGCTTTATTTGTTATGTCCTTCTGTAGCACTTCAGTTTGTAATATGGATTTCTGAAGTATGCTGTAGAGTGGATAATGCAGTTGTCACAACCCTCAAAAGTGGGACAGAAAATTATCCAATACTACTATGTATGCTTGAAGTAAACACAGAAACTGTATTTTCGTTCTGTGTCAAGCAGGTGTGCGCCTTGCACCTACTTCCCAGTTTTATATTTTATGGAAGGTTGCCATAAGAGGCACATATCCTGACAAGAAGTGCCTTGATTAAGTTGCTGCTGAAGACTAGGCAGGTACACGAGGGTAGGCTTGCCATTGCACTAGATCTGTTTAGAATCTCAAATTTTGTAAGCTAGATTGTTTTTAAAAAATTGTAGTATCCTGAGCAAACCATGTTCACAGGTCATTTTCAAACACTTCCTTGTCAAAAAAGTGACAAGAAGATGTCAGCTATAAAACAATTACTGTAAGATCACAAGTTGGAAGACCAATTTATTACAAAGAAGTGGAACACATTCCACTTTCTAGGACTTTAGTAGATGCTGCCTCAGGATCAGATACCATCATAACATGAAAATAAACAAGCTGATAATTGAATATGTATTAAAAAAAGGACAGTAAACCAGATTCTGGTTTCCATCATCTGAGATTTCCCACTCATGGGAGGAAATTAAACTGAAGCCACATATGATAATTATTTGCAAAAGCAGGGGAGGTTGACATATATGGTAAGTTAACAGCTTCAGGGAGGGATGACCATTTTGGTTGACTGTTATCAAAGCTGTGGCCAGCTTTCCTCATGTTCCTCTTTCCCAGGAGCAATCCCAGCTCTTGTTTGCTGGGAGGGCTGTGAAATGTAGGTGTACGGGGAAATCAATAAAGATGAGTCAGAAGTAAGCACACACAGGGAAACTAAGAATAGCACAAGCATGGAGTGATGCTTCTGTGGTGTACTGTCCCTGTTAGTGACCCTTTGAGGGCAGAATCTTGCTGAGCAAACGGTAGTGTTTCAGTTTTAATCACCCCTGTAGTTTTTCTGTGAATTTTTCCAATTGCCTTTTCAATTCACTTAACATCTTAGCATGAACACATCCTGTGACAAGCAATTCCACTGTCATATTCACAAAATTGCATATTTTGTGAAGAACAATCTGTGGTAACCTTGAGCTGAACACCTGCTGGTTGCATATGGTGCTCCTCAGTTCTGTCATGGAATGAGATAGTGAACCCCAATCCCTGTTCATTTTTTGCACCCGTAATGGATTCATAGACCATTTTTTGGTGAAAGTGCAGTCTTTTGTCACCTTCAGGTGTTTGATGGATATAGATTTTTTTGGAGAAAGACCTATGAAATTTGTAGTAGAGTGGTGAATTACTGTGTGCAACTCTGTATAGATATATATAAGACATTTAATGACAGTTCTAAACCCACTACTGTATCTTTAATGTGCTTTCTTCAATTTCTACATGCATAAGTCTATATCAAATTTATCACTTGGCTCCTTCTGTAGAGCTTTATTGTTTTGAGAGCCAAGTACAATAGTTCTTTCATTTTGAAGATTTAGTAAACTTTTTCTCTATATTAATACATTTTCAAGTAAGGCTGAATGTTCTCTTGCAGTATGTGTATTACACATCTCTTTACATATGTGTGATCTTGCAGTCAAAGTGATTTTCTTTTATTAGCTGCATTTTTTAGATAGCATGCTGATTTCAGTGTTAGGAAGCTGAGGAAAAACTGCCCAGTTTCACTGGGTGGGTTTTTAAGGTGATGGTAATCAAGCCTGGCTGACTGGTGATCATAAGACTGTTCATCTAACCACCCTTTTTACCTAGTGTGATTTTATGGTACATTGAGAGAATTGGAAGGTTTTAATGGAGGCTTGTCTTCTGTTACAGAGACTAATTTCTCTACATATAAGTGGGAGTCTTGAAGCAAGTAACTCATTTTTGTTCTGTATTTGTGTGAATATTTATTTACCTATAGACATAAAAATTGAAAGAATACCTCTGAAGAGGTCTTTATCCTTTGCTTTGTCTGTTGTCCATGCATACATGCTGTTATCAGTGATATTTGTATTCTTTGTCTTTAGTTGTAGGAGTAAAGCAACTATTGTTAGATTGACTGTTGAAAATCTTAATGCTTTGAAAATAACAGTGGTAGTTGTATTCTGTTATGTTCCTGAAGTGTTCCCGTTTCTGATCAGAGGAGATTATAGATTAATTAGTGTATGAGGTAAATGATGACATTCAGAGTCAAAGGTTGCTTTACCCTGAGTTACTCATGACTGTGCAGACAGGTAACATATTTTCCCATTTTAAATGGCAGAAGTTATGGGACTTCTTCAAATTCACTTGAAGAATAGAAATTAACTTAAAAAATAGAAAAAATTTAATACGTATTCTAGTTTTCTTTTTACTTGAATTCATCTTGAGTAATCTCCCTGGGATGTGTTCAGGCCTTTCCGATAAGCATGCTGTCACTAAAAGAGCTGAAGAATCTTGTTAGCCAGTAAATACATTTATTAACTTTTTTCTGTTTGTTCTTTTCTCACCAGATAGCTCAACATGAACGTTAACTGTCAAGATCATTTTAAAAGTGAAGAGAACAGTATTTTTCCTTCTGAGAGCTGGCTGCAGGATTCTGAGTTTCTCCTGCAGTACTGTCCTATTCACTACCATTTCCTAAAGCGGGTCATGGAGCTATGTTCCGTTCTTCACGTTAGGTACTAATGAAGTTACTTGCTTCGTCAGTGGAAATGCAGATCCATGAAATTACATTTTGTGCAAGTAAGTTAATGAGGGAAATGTTAAACTTTGCTATCACATCATTGTTGTTTCGTTTATGTTGATACAGCTCCCAAAAGTCCATTTTAGCCTTGAGTTCCAAATGGTAGAGGAGGCTATTGATGGAGAACCATTACAATGTAAAGCTTCTCTGCAATTTTGTTGCGCTCTTGAGCTGCTGCTGTGGTTATGTGGTTAGCAGCATAGTTAAGAAGAGGGGTGCCAAGTGCATACATTTGAATTGTCCTGCTGGCAGCACGTGCACGAAGTCAAGATAGAAAAAAGTTTCTGGAACTAGTTTCTGTGTTTAATTTCTAGAATGCTTCCGTGCAGCAAGCTAATTTAGAGCAAGTCCTAAAGTTGTCTTGTTTTCTGATTTTCTATCCAACTGATCAAGTCATTTTATACAATAGGGAATTCTATAGTGCTGAAATAATAAGTGTACCTGGTAAAAGCCCAAAGTTGTTCAGCAGAGTGCAGGCAACAGTGGCTTCTGCTGCAGTTATGACTGGTGAAAGTCTGATATGCCCTAGAAGTAATTACAAAGGTATTAATGTGAAATTTTTTAGCTCACGTCATGCATCTGAAAGCAAGTTGAAGTTTGATTTGAAGCAGTTTGCTGATATAGCTGAATTTCTTAAGTTGAAAATTACAAGACATTAGCAATATTTTCATTATTATATGCCTCTCTGAGGAGTAAATACCCTTATAAAAACTTAATATTGATTATTATTCAGTAAGTACCCTGATGTATATGTAACCTGTCAAATAGGGGAGGTGACATTTCAGGTTAAAAAAAATAGCTATTTCCTCTCTTTTATGGAGAGGCAGTTCTATTTTTGGAAAACTTGGATTCCTAACTTTTTAGAATACATGGTAAGTCCTTCAGTTGCCAAGGCTTGAAAGCACGTTAATGTCATAGTTTGAAAGGTGCTGTAAACATGTCACTATTGCACATGAAAACATATTTCAGCTGTATTCAGAAATCTGTTTTCCTTTGCAGTTTGTGACTCTATGGAACTTGAGTAGCATCATCCGAGGAAAGCGAAAATCTATTTATTTTTTTTTTTTCATTATCTCTGAAGTGATAGGTGTACATGGCAGGAGTCTGCAGAGTAGTGTTAAGAGTTGAGGAAGTGTTTGCTTTTGGCTTCATATAAATTCTAGCAGCTCGCCCACTTGTAAGAGGACAAATTTGTATACTGAAACTTAGCGGATATATATTCCTTCTTTTAATGTTTGTCTTGCTAAACTTTTGGATGTTTTGATTTAATGTAAGATTTGAAGAAATTGAAGGTTTTAAAAATGTCTTCACTCTTGAAAGGCTGTCTGCAGGATATGTGTTTATACTGTTACATACCTACTATAAATTTTCTCCTTGTGATCAAGAAATGCTTAAATATACAACTTTTTTAAGTGATTGTATTCCACAAAACTTTAATTACTATGCTTTGAAAATTAAATACTGTGAAAACAGGTAGGCTTTGCGAGCACCATTTCAGCCTGCTCAGTGTTTGTGTGATACTGATAGATGCATTTGCAGATTTAAAGAAAGTGGAGACACATGTAAGGAAAAAAGGTATTTCATGTTAAAGAAATTCCATTATGGGTTGTGAGAGAAAGATTACATTCCTTGCTGTCCTCATCCTAGATTTCCTATTTGATAGTACGTAAGTTACTTAAGTCTCAGTCAGGGTACTTAAGCATGTACTCAGTTTCATGAAAGTACATTGATATTATTGCTTGATCAAGTCCTGGATCATTTTCCATCTGGCATATCCTTACAGTACAGTTTTCCTCTCCAGCTATTCTTCTTGTTTGTTTAAACTATAACATGGAAGGAAATAAACTATAATAAGGGAAGGAATGCCATCCAGAGGGACCTTGACATGCTTATGAGGTGGGCTGATGCCAGCCTCATGAAGTTTAACCATGCCAAGTGCAAGGTCCTACACCTGGGTCAGAGCAGTCTCAGGCACAGCTACAGGTTGGGCAGAGAAGAGATTCAGAGCAGCCCTGCAGAGAAGGACTTGGGGGTGTTGGTTGGTGAGAAAATGAACATGAGCTGGCTTCAGTGTGCGCTTGCAGTCCAGAAAGCCAACCGTATCCTGGTCTGCATCAAAAGGAGCGTGACCAGAAGGTCGAAGGAGGTGATCCTGCCCCTCTACTCTGCTCTAGTGAGACCTCACTTGGAGTATTGTGTGCAGTTCTGGTGTCCTCAACATAAAAAGGACATGGAACTGTTCGGAATAAGTGCAGAGAAGAGCCACAAGGATGATCAGGGGACTGGAGCACCTCCCGTATGAAGACAGGCTGAGGAAGCTGGGGCTGTTCAGCCTGGAGAAGAGAAGGCTGCGTGGAGACCTCATGGCAGCCTTCCAGTATCTGAAGGGGGCCTATAGGGATGCTGGGGAGGGACTCTTCATTAGAGACTGTAGTGATAGGACAAGGGGTAATGGGTTAAAACTTAACCAGGGGAAGTTTAGATTGGATATAAGGAGGAAATTCTTTCCTGTTAGGGTGGTGAGGCACTGGAATAGGTTGCCCAGGGAGGTTGTGAATGCTCCCTCCCTGGCAGTGTTCAAGACCAGGTTGGACGAGGCCTTGGGTGATATGGTTTAGTGTGAGGTGTCCCTGCCCATGGCAGGGGGGTTGGAACTAGATGATCTTAAGGTCCTTTCCAACCCTAATTATTCTATGATTCTATAATCATCTCACTAAACAAAAAGGCTCACAACTTCAGGGCTACAAGTGCTACAGTAGTACTAAAACTGAGTTATAATAGTGTTTCAATCTCCATAGGTATCTAGGTGAGCATTATGACAGTTCAGATAACAATATTTGAAAATGTGACATTAATGTCAGATGTGATACTGCTTTGTGGTTTGCGTAGACTAATATGTCCTGTGCAGTTAGGACTGTAATCTGAGTTGCAGTTGAAAACCCTCCCTGTGCCCTATTTTAATTTTGAGCCCAGTATATAGCTTGGGATGTTTGAATAATCACAGTTGACTCCTTTGTTTTTGTTTTAATTCTGATTCCTCCTGATCTGTGTTTTGTTGTAGGTTGTTGTTAACTCTGTTGGCAATGTCTATGATTTTATCTGCCTCTGTGGTCCGTGTGAGGGATGGACTCCCACTGTCCGCATCTACTGATTATGAGCAGAGCACGGGAATGCAGGAATGTAGAAAATACTTTAAAATGCTCTCAAAGAAACTTTCTCAGCTTCCTGATAGATGTACTCTGAAAACTGGGCAGTATAATATAAAGTAAGATTTTCCTTTTATGTATTTGCAACATTTCAGGTTGTGTCTGTCTAAGTTAAAAAGTCAACAGTTCACATTAGAAGATTGATTCTTGGCTGTACTGATGTATCAGAACTTGATTGAGAAATTACAGAAAGATCTGAAATCTACTCAAACTTTAGTGGAAATTCTAGTTTGAAATAGACAGTATGTTTATAAATATTTAAGCCCTTGACCTACTAGAAATATTTCTTTAAATTTCAAGGTTGTTTCTTACATGAAAGCGACCAGACTTGTACTTCATCATGCTAGTTCAACTAGTGTTCATTGCTTTTTCTCTTTTTAGTCTACACACATTTTAGAAAGTACCCAGATACTTTCATAACCCAGCATGGAATTAGGCCCTTTTATTGTACTTTCAGGATTTTGGTTGTCTTGAGAGGAAAATGTGCCCTAAACCCCCAGCATAACTCAATAATTTTTTGAAATGGCACACAAGGGAGTGCAGGAGTGGGAAGGCAGTGTGTAGTCAAGTGGTGAATGGTAGAATGGAACCTACCAATCCTGTTGCTTCATTCAGCACTTTCACAGCAATGCTTTTTGTTTTCACATTCATGTTTTGACTTTTTTGTTCTAATAACTTCCTAATTTCTTTAGCATGTCAAGTCCATAGTGTACCTGCATGACAACACTGATTAAGTACCAATTCAAAAGATGCTCTTTTTTTCCATTTCCAGTGTGAGATTTGGATTATTGTGAAATAACTCTTTGGTTTTGTTTGTGTGTGAACTTACTCCTTAGTATTGGTAACTAGGTGTTCCTGTGTGTAGTCAGTAATTCAGTTGCTCTTTAGCTGAGCTGAATTCTGATTCTAATTTAGATATGTTATTTTAAATGAGGTGAGTAATTTCATCCTAACCCCTAGCAGACATGTAGAAGTTACAGTGGTGAAAAGTATGCCACCTAAATGATCCTGTAAAGCGCTCCACCTTCTTCATGTCCCATTGGTAGATGTGAGTTTCCAGCTTTTCTCAGGATCAGGTCCAGCACACTTAATTTTTTCTAGTTGATGTGTCTTTTAAAACCTCAGCTGTAGTTGGCTTGTAAACTGATCACTTTTAAAGAAACTTTTAAGACTGAGGCATAAGATTTAGTCAGGAAGTTTTTATATTAGTTTTGGCTTTGATTACTTTTAATAGTATAGATTATGAAGAAATTTGAATGTCTCATTAAAATCAAATTGTTTAATGAATTGCCTAAATGCAATAGATATATGTATATTGAAAACTGTCCCTTTCTGATTTCGTATTTGTCATCTCTGGTCACCCTTCCGACTGTCTTTGGAGAATGATGAATCCTGTATTCTATAAAACAATTTTATTTGCTTACGTATTTTAGAAAGAAGCAACTGCCACACTTCCCTGCCCCAGCCCCAGTTTGAAGATAAGTTTTTGCATCTTTGGGATGTGCCAAATAACATATTCTGCATTTGAGATGAATGAAAAGCTATTATGGGACAAACCTACTGTTTTTATCCTGAAAGCTTTATGTTCTTTTCTTTTCCATATATGTAAGAGTGTGTACATATGCATACGCACACATATGCATATTCATACATAGATGTGTATAACATAGCTTCTCATATGACCGTAGAAGGTGATGTTAAATTAAAACATTACCTAAAAGTAGATTGTTTTTCTTCTACAATAATGTTGCACTTCTCAGTAAACATTAGTTCCCTTAATACCCCAGATCAGTTTTTGCTTTTCTGCTTATAGAATATGAAATCAGAGTAGTGAAGCAGCAAATTACCTGAATTCAAATTTGAAATTTTCAATTTCAGCTTTATAAGTTCTCTGGGAGTAAGCTATATGATGTTGTGCACTGAAAATTATCCCAGTGTCCTGGCTTTCTGCTTCCTGGATGAGCTTCAGAAAGAATTCATCACTACCTACAATATGATGAAGACAAATACTGCTGTCAGACCATACTGTTTTATAGAGTTTGGTAAGGATCTGACTTCTTTTTTTCTTGATTCTCACACTAGGACAAATGAGTATTTAAATAGATGTGCAATTTAACATACACAAAACAGAAATGTCCAAGGCAGTTTATAGCTGTATTTCAGGTGGATTTAGAATCTGATTTAACTCCCCTTAGAATCAATAAAGGAATACTTCTGTGGTCATTAAATTAGGCTACTAGAGTTTTATCCAGACTTGTATTTAATCTTTCTGTTCTTTCCAGCAGGTTTTGGTTTAAGCCTTGTGTGACTAAATCTGGAGTTCATCTTCTAGTTAATTATACTAGGAGTTTTTTGGCTTCAGACCTGTTGAAATACTTAATGCCTGTAAAGGCATTTAGCTTAATAAATTTGTCAAGTAAAAGACTGCAATTTCATATTTGCTCTTAGCTGTGGTGTAATTTTTGTTCAGTACGTGAAAGGGACAGATTTTTATTTGTTTCATGATATAGTGAAGCATTAAATCTTGTCATGCAAGCTCCAAATACAACTAATTTCATGTATACCAGATAAGAGGTGTTAATGGATTCCATTAATATCTGTAGCTTTAATGCTAAATGTTAGGCAGGTATTTTAAACATTCCTATAAAATACATTAGAGCCCAAAGAACTGCAATTTTAGAAATGTGGGGGAAGATATTCCAGTTGGTTAATTCCTGTCTATAATTCAGTCAGGCAATTTCTAACAATTTCTTACTTAGGAAGATTTCTGTGAATACTTAGGAAGATTTCTGTGAATACTTAGGAAGATTTCTGTGAATACTTAGGAAGATTTCTGTGAATACTTTCTATTTTCCCCAACGCCTTCTTTATTCTACTACTTGTTCAGTTAGAACGTAGATCTGTTACAGTCATTAGATGTGTATAATATAGTAATAATTTTCTCTGCCTGAATATTTTGCATGCATGTTTCATACTCAAGTAAATTTATACTTGAAGAATGCAGGAGTTAATATTTTCCTGAAGGATATTTACCAAACTAACGGAAAAGCTAGAATTAGTGCACTAAAATCATTGTATTTGCAATGCATTTAGTCTCGTGCAGAGAAAAGTCATTAGTTTATTCACAGTTATTATGTAATTAGATTTCTAGAGCTCAGTTTATTTTTTTAGTGCAGAATTAAATAGCAGAATAATACAAACCAGAAATAGTATTAAAAAAAACCAAAATAAACACAAGCATTTCAGACAACACATTTCAGTTTGTGAAGCGTGTTGTACATAAAGCTGCATGGTCTTGGATTATTTAATTAACAAAAGTCTATAAATATATACCTTTTTATTTAAAATTTTGCACAGATAATTTCATTCAGAGGACCAAACAGAGATATAACAGCACACGTTCTTTGTCAACAAAGATGAATCTTGCTGACATGCAGACAGAGATCAAACTGAGACCACCTTACCAAATTTCCTTGTCAGAACTTGGTTCAGCTAATGGATTTGCACATTTATCTGTGGCTGAATATAAGGGTACTGGTAAGATATCTGCAGGTAAGTTTCAGCCTTTTGGTTTTGTATCCTTAAGTGAGACAGGTGCAGGGTAGTAGAATTAATCTTTGATAATTTTTTCTTTACAAAAAACTTTTTCACCATGATGTTCTTAAAGCATAAAGCTGCCATGACCTTACATGTGTTTTACCTTAGATGTCTAAAGTTTTGTCCTCTGCTCGGTGTGCATATATTTCCAAGGTATTCAGAGGGAGAAATGGGTCTATCCAATGGACTGTTTTATTGAAGGGAAACAAAAAGCATACATGAAGATAAGCAAATGGGGATGAACGCTTAACAAGATGATTTTTCTTTTCCCGATCTTCTACGATTTATGTAAATGTTTGTTATTCTTGCCCAGTAAGACCCAGTGATTACGTAAGCAAGAGCATAGTTTCAGGACTTACAGCAACTGGAGGGAGAAGCAACACTTCAGGAAGTATCTGTGACTGTGAAAATCCCAAGAACTGTGCTGGCTAAAGGATATACACTCTAAAAATAAATACCTTGTGTACAGTGTTAATAATAGCAATTTTGTATATACTTGCCACATGCATTTAAGTAGTCATTAATTTTTTTTAAACTTTAATTTATTTCACGTAGGAGGTAAATATGGCATTCTGTAGTTTGTGCTGTTAAGTGACTGCTCTGAATCTGTTTGAGGCCTGTCTTCAGACGTTTCCCAGCAGGACAGATCTGTTAAAACTTACCAAGTCCTTGCAGTAATATGTGGAATCCACTTGTGAAACTCTGGAGTTTACTTCACATAATCTTGATTTCAGCCTTCTAAGTTTAGTGAAGCAGAATAATAAATAGAATAAAATGAAGGGTTGATTTTAATTTGTTAATATCTTCCCTTTTTTTCCAAAGTACCTCTTGTCTATATGGCTAGTTATCCTGGGCAGACATACATGGATGCTGTTCGCTTTATAGTGTTGGGATGAAAATTGCAATCATAAATCTAAACACTTCCTACAGTTTTGTAATATAAGAGCTCAGTTTAATTTTGTGCAGTTTATATATGCATGTGTATGTGTATACATGTACATTAAAAATAGAATCACTTTGTCAGTGTATTATCCTATTTGCTTTACTTACTTATAAGGATTCCTCTAGAAAATTAAAAACTACTTGGTCCTAGTCTGCCTTATGTGTGCTGCTGAGGCCTTGAGCCTGAGAATTCTAGGTGCTATAAGACAGTGTAGAGAAAGCCACATATAAGAATGTTTTTTACTGTGAAGTGAAATTAAACAATAATTACCAGATGATCTCCCAATTTTTTCCCCTACCTCTCCAGAACTTGACTTACAGAACCATTTCTGCTCTCCTCTTTTATTTCCATGTCAACTTTCTTCTGTTTCTCTTTCAGTTACTTGTAACTTCCCTCTTCCTCTGAATTCTGTAGATCTCTCTGATCAGTCACCCACTTCCTTCCTTGAATTGATGTAGAAACTCACCATCAAAGGACTGTACATTATGAGAGGTTTCCACTGTGCTCTTCCTTCAGCTTTTCAAATATTAGATGCTATTGAATATCAGAGTCTTTTCTAGCAAGTCTGCTAATAGTTTTGTAATTCTTTAAATTCATTGCTTCTCTCCACCGTTGGAAATAACTTTCTCTGGTTGTTTCCTACCCCCAGTTGGCTAGACTTCAGAATTTTTCCTTTTTCTGTAAGGACAGTCCTCACAAAAAGATCTGGTTTGCCTAGTGTAAATTCCTGAGTATGCCGTCCTGTTAAAAAATATGACTTGCTGCAACTGAGTTAAGTATGTTAAGTTGAGTAGCAGGCAGAGGGAGGAAGTTAGGTAGATGCAAATCTTGTTTAGCTATATGGAATAGCAGAATCTGATGTGTTAGTTTTGGCTATGCTGACAGGGCATTGTCTGTTACTTGCTTATACTTGTAATTGGATATGTATCCAAGTGCTAGTGTCTAGGCATCTTTGTTAAAGCAATTTTAAATAGCAGTTCTTTTCCCTTAGCAAAGTTGTGCTGTGTAGTGAGGAATAGGGGTAGTTATTAATGTGTGAAGCATAAGGTGTGCAGCTTATGGATACAATTTTGCTTCAAATGAATGTAGGTGTTGGCAGGCATTAGAAGTAGGGAGACAGCTGATGTGTGATGTTTTAAGTTAGGATAAATTTACTATTTTCTGAACTTTTTTTCAATGAAAAAACAGTTGTCAAATCAAGGTTACTTTTTGCCTGATGACACCATCATGTGTCACACAAGAACTTGATGCTGGTTTAGTGGTTTTTTTGCTGTTTGGTGGTTTTTGGTAGGTTCTTTTCGGTTGTTTTTTTTTTTCTTTTTTTGGTTTACATTTTGTTTTTAAATAAATGGCCTTACAAGTACTGCAATTTCTCACTTTGAGTAAATGTCCTAAATTGTTATTTAAGCATCAACATTTTAATTCAGAATTTGTGCTTTGTTTGATCCTTGGCTTGCATTAGAGAAGTTTTTGATATGACAGTTATAATATTTCTAAAATTTCTGTATGTATTGACTGAAGGTCAGCTGTCCTTACCCTGCCCTCTCTGATACCTTCTTCGTTCTTCTCATTTTGACTTTTTTTTTTTTTTTTATATATAGATGGCTCTTGTTGCTTTGATTGTAACACTGAAATTTTTTAAGCCCTGAAGAGCTTAATGCCATCGATAGTGGTTTGCAGTGTCCTTAAAAGTTTTTGGATTCGTTTTCCTATTTTAACAAGAGAGAAAAGTTAGTATTTTATAGTCCTTCATAGACTGTCTTGATTTGGCTGACAAGACTCTTTTCCTCCCATGGTTCTCAAAGAGGTGTTTTAAATGCTGATTTAACTCATGATGTTTTAAAGTTACCCTGATAACGTGGGGAAAATGAGATTGTCTGGAGAGCTGTGAGTGAAGAGCAGCAAACTAATTTTACCCACCAGTTAATGAAATGCAATTACCTTTGGCTAAAAACAGTTACATGCACCTTCAGCTTTTTGCCACTCTCTAGGTGAGATGATTTAAAAAACCCGAAACAAAACAACTGGCTCCGAGTCACTGAAAATGGATGGTTTGGTATTTGAATAGCATATCTACTTCAAGTGTGCAATTGCTGGTTGTATTCCTCTAATATGCACTACAGTTACAAAAGAAATAAGCTCTGAAAGTTAAACATGGGTTATGCTTTTGTTTAAAAAATCCCAACTACACTTAAATTCAGCACAAATGAGCTAACTGAATTAATTACATGTTTTATTTTTAATTTGTCACACACTTATAATTAGACAGCCCCGTCTGCTTATCAGTGTAAAATAGCTTTTGTCATTTTTTCTTTAGGTTCTGTAACTTCATAAACTGTTTGGAAAGCTTTTTTCCTGGATCTGTGCAATGCAAACAGCCAGAATTGACACCACTCTCCCTATTAATGTTACAGTTCATTAACCTCATTGTCACATCTTTACAGTTCATTGACTTGAACAGAAGGATTCAAGTACGGCTCAGTGGTCCTGTTGTTTTCCCAGTGTTGCCTAGACTGTTAAGAGATTGTTCATTGTTTTTTAATATTTGCGTTCTGTTATTAATTATGGAAGGGGACAGTAATGAGGAACATACACAACTGTTACGTGCTTGTGACCCTATATGAGCCAGAAAGAGTGCGTGTGCATGGAGAGAAAGCGTGTTTTAATTTTGATGTGTTTTGTAAGTCTTCTAAGTACTGTCACTACCCAGAAGGTGTGTATAAGGTTGTAATATAGATACTAGTAGTTTCAGAACTGTCTTTTTATTTGTGTCTTGGGTACCTCTGCCTTTTAAGGGAGGGGACTGTAATAGTTTTGCCTCATAGTGTTCTGTTCAGCAGACAAAATGAATCAGTCTGGCTAGCTTTGCTAATGTGTAAGTGTTAAAGAAAAGTGGAGGCTGTTGAGGGGAGCTCTTACTTGACTTAAGAGCTGGATGCTAATTGTGGACAAAATGTCAGTAGCAAGTGCATCAGTTGCCATTGATTTCCTGGAGTGTTTGAGCAGCTTTCAGTGTCATACTGAGTAAACTGTATGTATTGAGTTAAAGACTAAATATAATAAGACAATTATATATGTGAATTGAAGGAAGCTGTGTTTTGGTAAACCTTGTGTTGAATACTTAGAATGTTTCTTCTTTAAAAAAAAAAGATTGACATTCTGTGGTTTGCTTCAGTTATCTCTTTTAGAACTAGAAGCCACTGAATAGTGAGATTACTATTTTACTAAATTTCTCAAGATGTTACTTTGACCTTTGATACCTTGTTTTTATCTTCTGCTTTGCAGCTCTTCATCAGCGTCTGGAACCTGTGACTCTGCCAGGGATTGTCTCATTTGTGCTTAGCCTGTTGTGCGGGGCTTTGAATTTAATTCGTGGCTTTCATGCCATAGAAAGTCTTCTCCAGGTATTGTATGTGTTTATGAATTTGAGTGTTATGCATCATAGCAATCATAATATCACCTTAGAAGATGCTTACTGTATGAACTAAATCTTGCCAGTTTTGTCTTCAGAAATAATGCTTGTGAGGTCAGACCTCTGTTAATGAAGCCTGTGTTGATTGTGATCTGTGCATCCTTCTTGAGTGTGATGCATCATTCATTGAGGCTGTGAGTTTAAAAAGCAGTAGGAGGTGGGTGGCTGACCCCTTCTGTAGGAACCTCCGTAGCTGTGAGTATGAGAACATAATGTTCTGTTTTCTAGATTTATGGCGGGATATGAGGCATCTAATTTTCAGAGATGTTATTTAAAAACACTTGAGAGAAATGGTGAACAGCTTTGAAAATCTGACCTGTTTTTGTTTTTGTTTTGTTTTTTTTTTTTTTGAAAGGTCCCCAGGGCAGGGATCTTTAAACAGGTTTTGTAAAATCTTTTTAGGAACCTTTTTTTGTTTTTCTTTGTTTTGAATAAACCTTTTTTAAGTAGGATAGCATTTCTTTTTGTGTGCTGATCAACGTAAGGGAAAGTGTGATTTCTTCTAACTCCTGTTCTCCCCGAACACCAACCCCCTCACCAAACAACCTTCTCCACAAACATTTGTTCATGTGAGCACTCTGCTCTGTCCCTCCCTATAGACTTTCAGTTTCTTTCTATTCAATTTTTAATCCAGTTTCTTGGGAGTTGTATTCTCATTGCTACAATGTCACTAAGAGTGGTTAATGATCTCAAGCAATTCAAGTGAATATGCTGGTAGTGCTGGCAAGCACCTGCAGAAAGTTCATGTGTGTTACCACAAAAAAAGAGTGACTTAACATTAAGTGGTTCTGCTGTTATGGTGGTGGAAGTAGAAACTAAAATCCCTGTCGAACTTTTCTGAAAGAAAATGAGGATTCTCCTACTTGACTAATAGATAATATTTTTATTCAAACATATATCTGGACTTCATAACTGCAGTGCTTGTGACACATAAAAGATTTTTTTTAGGGACGTAAGGTAAAGAAGATGTATTCCAGTTGTCTGATAGAATTACTGATAATGTAAAGATTTAATAAAGTGGTAATATTTGAGGCCTCAGCGTTTCCTGAAGACTAATGAACAGGGTTAATGAAAGTGTTTCGTACTAGGTCCTAATTTTGAGTTGTTTCTTAAAGAAGAACCAAGAATGAATTAATGAACATACAGCTCTACTTTATCGCTAATTAGATATTTCTGTTATGCACAATTCTCTCAGTTTATAAATAGAAATTAATTTAAAGTACACTGTAGTACAAATAGTACTGAACAGATTTCTACCACTTAGTTTAATATTTCTAGAACTTGTTTTGTTACCTTTCTGCGGCTGATTTTTTGAAAAGAAATGCCAATGTTAGATAAAGCTATTTAAGTGATACTAAGGCAGCTAATTAATGTTACTCTATATGTTTGTGCATCTGGAGGTAAAAGAAGGCAGTACAGATGAAAGATGGTTTTTCAGTTTCTGAAAAACAAGGACACTAAAAATCCATTAAAATTTCTCTTTATTTTATTATGGAAAAACTCGCAAGGTTTAGTGAGAAATAATCCAAAATATGATTAATTGAACTTCTGAGGACTCATTCAAAAGCTTGTCTCCTTTGTAATCAGTGTTTTTATTTGGGTGTTAGTAAAACTGTTAAAATCTCTAGCTCTACCCCAGCAAATATATGGTGGCACCAAGGTAGGCTTGCGTACAGTTTAGGAGTGTACTGCATCATGTAGGTACGAAAAGTGCAGAAATGCAAACTTTTTCCTAGTCAACACTGGAGATGGCAATGCTTCACATTGAGCAGAAACATGTAATTCTGAATGGACCATCATCTTACCAAAATGATACTGGCCTTTCAAGGAAGAACATTTGCATGAATACCCATTGTTTTTCTGCGAAAATTTCCTATTGTTGCAGATGTTTGTTTGAATTATGGTTAGAATAATCAGTGAGCATGCAAATTTATTCTGCTCAACTCTATAGAAACTATAACAACCCATTTGAATAAATTAGAAGGAATTCTTTTTTGGTTTTTAAACACAGAGTAAAAAGCTCTTAAAGTAAAATTTTCCATCTTTTCCTTCAAGAAAACGTAATTTTCCAATAATCCTTCTGATAAATTCATGTGCATTTGTTAGCTCTCACTGCGATGAACAGAGCTGCCTGCTCTACTCTCTATGTAGAATTTTACCACACCCTAGTGGCCAGTTTGTTTTCTCCTTTTATCTCTTTTCCATCTTGTGAAGCTGGAAAGTTTTATTAAAGGTAGGTACAGTGTTCAGACTTGAATTTTCAAAGGCATCTAGAGAAGGTAAGTATCTGGTGCTAGATCTGGACTTCCTTTAAGGCTTTTGAAAATCTTAGCCTAATTTGTTTGTTGTGAATGAGCATTCTGGTCAGATTGCAGATCGCTGTCTGTTTTTTTTCCAGACGTAAATGTAAACAGCAATTAGTGCTAACGCTTTTGGTTTAGTGTAATACAGGAATTATTATAAATCTTCGTGTGAGACTGTTTTAAAGACAATAATTAATAACTTTCATACTGTAAATATCTGGTATTTCACTGAAACATTGTAAAGGCATGGCTTTTTATTCTATTTTATTTTCACAGAATGAAGGTGAAGATTTCAGCTATGTTATTGCATTTTTTCTTGGAACAGCAGCCTGTTTGTACCAGGTGTGTTCTTCTGCTTGCATAATTCACTGTAGAGTTTAGAAACATTACCCAGTCATGCATAAATGTCATCATGTTTTCTAAATGTCACAGATACTTGAATAGGGTGATTATAAAAATAATTTCTGCTCTTTTTTTTTTTTTTTTTTTTTTTCATTAGTTTGATACAAAGAGCTTCTGTTTGCTGGATTTTTTTCCTCCAGTTAGTTGATTAAGAGATTTGGTGTACTTTTCTGTCTGGAGCTTACAATTTATCTCTAAAGTCACAAGCAGTGGAGGTTGTATCATTTCCTTAGAGTAGTAGTTTCATAGTTCAAATAAGCTTAACCATCTGAACAAATGGCATGCTACTTCTTTCCTTTGGGAAAATTTGAAATAAATACAGTAACACCTAGATACTACACTCCAGAATTTTCATCTCTTTGTACACTATAGTGCATCTCCTTCATTCTCAAAGCTTTCAGTCTCTTTCCACTATGTTTTCTTTCTTCTGTCTGATATTTCATGTTTCCATTTCTGCACTTAAATTTGACCTTCCTATCTAATTTGTAGCATGGTATTCTGGTGCCCATTGGCATTTGTCATTCAGTAACACTGCTGTTACGTTTAGCTATGACTGTAATGTCTGTCATGTTCAATTGCTGTTACTATAACTCTTCTGACTTTTAATCTCTTGCATTTGTGGAGTATGTGGTTTCTACTTGTTTCCTTGTGCCAATGTTTAATACAGTGTCAGATCATAGAATCATAGAATAGTTAGGGTTAGAAAGGACCTTAAGATCATCTAATTCCAACCCCCCTGCCACGGGCAGGGACACCTTACACTAAACCATGTCACCCAAGGCTCTGTCCAGCCTGGCCTTGAACACTTCCAGGGATGGAGCATTCACAACTTCCCTGGGCAACCCATTCCAGTGCCTTACCACCCTTACAGTAAAGAACTTCTTCCTTATATCCAATCTAAACTTCCCCTGTTTAAGTTTTAACCTGTTACCCCTTGTCCTAAAGTAAAATGTCTCAGGATTTTCCTTTCACATCAGTGTTTCTATCAGTCAGCCTTTTATCCAGGTTACCTGTAATCTCCATTCTCTATTAGCAAAATGTACTCATAGAATCATAGAATCACAGAATGGTTTGGGTTGGAAAGGACCTTTAAAGATCATCTAGTTCCAACCTCCCTGCCATGGGCAGAGACGCTTTTCGCTAGATGAGGTTGGTCAAAGCCCCATCCAACCTGACCTTGAACACTTCCAGATATGGGGCAGCCACAGTATCTCTGGGCAACCTGTTCCCGTGTCTCACTACCCTCACAGTAAAGACGTTCTTCCTAATATCTAGTCTCAATCTGCCTTCTGTCAGTTTAAAGCCATCCCCCCTTGTTCTGTCACTATATGCCCTTGCAAAAAGTCCCTTTCCAGCTATTGAAAGGCTGCTCTTAGGTCTTCCTGGAGCCTTTTGTTTTCCAGGCTGAGCAACCCCAATTCTCTCAGCCTGTCTTCATAGGAGAAGTGCTCTAGTCCTCTGATAAAAATCTTCATGTCCCTCCTCTGGGCTTGCTCCAACAAGTCCACCTCCTTCTGGTGTTGTAGGTCCCACAACTGGATGCAGTACTACAGGTGGGGGTCTCATGAGAGCAGAGTAGAGGGAGAGAATCACCTCCCTTGACCTGCTGGTCACGCTCCTGATGCAGCCCAGGATGTAGTTGGCTTTCTGGGCTGAAGTTGACTATTGCCAGGTCACGTTTAGCTTCTAATCAACTAACACTCTGAGTCCTTCTCCTCGGCGCTGCTCTTAATCCATTCTCTGCTCAGCCTGTATTTGTGCTTGGGATTGCCCCAACCCAGGTGCAGGACACAAGTACAACTTGTGTTCTTCACCACTTGTTGACTTTTCATCAGCTGCTGCCTTAAATAATTCTTCAAATTGGTGTTAATTTTTCATGCCAACAATCTGCTCCATGTCATACGGAGGAGTTCCACCTTATTGTTCTTTTGTGGGGAAAAATACATATTCTTCCTTCCCCTCCCAAAATAGAAACCTTATTCTTAATATAAGTATTCATGTCTGTGCATTGAGAAAGAAGGACTTTTCTCCACTGTCTGACTTGAATAGAGATGTTTTTAAGAAACAATTCATGCAGCTTGCAGTATAGGCTTTTTCTTAATACTCAGAATATATCTGTTGATACTGCTGTTCTGCACCCTGTGGTGTCATTCCTACCATATGTAATTGTTCAGTTTTCAGAACTAAGAGAGCTCTTAGTTCTCTGGCATATTCTGGTGTTGTTTTGCCACATTAAGAGTTTGGGAGATTAATTTCATGTGTTGTGTGGCAGCACATTTTATTGTCATTCACCCATATGTCCGTAATGCGGTATTGTCTTATTGAGTCAGTAACAGCGTAGCAGCGTGTTACTCTTTATGGTTTCTGAGAAAACGTTTGTATCCTAGGTGTGCAGGCAAAAAATGGGACTTAAAGGGAGCGTGATGTTTTAGGCTTACTGTCATGTCTGGTGTTCCGCCATGGTTTCTGGTCTCTGAAGAAGAAGAAAATGGACAAAAGTAACAGCTATCTCAGTTGTAGCTGAAGTGTGAAGTGTCAGGAGCTAAGCCGTCAGTCACTTCTTAACATTTATTAAAAAAACCACACGCCAAATAAACAACTTCCCCCTCCCCCAAATTAAGTTCTTCTCTGAAGTAGCACAGAGGAGTCTTCTACGTAAAAACATGCTCAGTAACTGCCATACTAACACTTCCCTTTAATAGAAATAAAAAAAACAGCCTCAGGAATTTCATAATAGCACTTGTTACAGTGAGGTGTTTTGGCCTTTTGAGTGGTGCTCTGTTCTGTAACTGGCAAATCTGGCATTTCAAACCTAGACTAATGAAAAGCCACTGAATTCATTTAAAACAGATCTTCAGTAAAATTCGAAGTCATTCAACATCATGTTGCAGTAACGTTTTTAAGTGTCTGTAATATTTTTACCATTTTATTCATATTTATTAATGATTTTAATTAAGCATATCCTGACTCTTATTTTAATCTTGGTATTAGCTACACTTTTTCATATGTTGTCAGTGGAGGTGGCACTGCTAGAAGATTATCTGAACTCTTACTGCTGAGGTACTATGCCAACTAATTGCTCTTTTATATATGATTTATAAAACTGTCAGCACAAGTAGGTTGCATTTGCTCTGCTTGAAGTGGCCAGGCAAGTTCAGAGAAATTCCATATAGATTCTAAAGCACGTGGATTACTTTTCTCTAGTTTTACTTTGCTTTGGAGGAAGGATGTGCAAATCTTGCTGATACTGGCAGTACTCATATGTCTGAAGATACTTAGATATCCCCAAATTACAGGTGGTTTTGTTAACCTCAGTCACACTTACAGTGGAAGTACGTGCTTTATAAGAAAGTGGTTGAGTTTTGGATAGAATATAAAGTAATCTCAAATTGCATTGTTCAGTTGGACATGTACAATGCTTTGGCCCTTTTTTGAGGAACATGAAAATTGAAAAAAAAAAAATTAGCTTCTCTGACTGATAAAACGTGGCAGATATCCAAGAAGAACAGAAAATGATACTTAGATAGTCCAGTGATGGATGCTGTTATAAAATTTGTGTGATCATGGTTATATATCCACTGCAGACAGATTTGGAATACAAAGTAAGCTCAAGTGGTGTTGTTGCCTACCTTGAAGCACAGTAAAAGCTTTCTTCAGCAGACAGAAATGGCTAGAATCCAGAGTGGGGGGCAACCAGTTTTTTTGCAGAAGGAAGAAGTTTGAACAACAGCAGAAGTAAAAATAATGTGTATGTAAAAGCCATTTCCTTTTAGAGATGAAAACTCTAAAAGCAAGCCACTTGAACAGATTTCTAGTTGCAGTAGGAAGAAGGTAAAGTGGGGAACTGCGGGCAGTCCTGACATTTTGTGTTACACCATGAGGTACAGAAACTGACCCTTAAAATGTGGTGGAATTATAGTAGAGTTGTTGCGTATTTCTCTCCACATGTGATCCATCTTCCACCAGCCAAAGAAGGACAGTGGGTATTTGTAGACTCTTGACATCTCTCAGTTAATTCTCTGCATTAACCCTGGCAGGACACTGTGTTGGTATCTGTGGCCTTGCCTCTTGCTGAGTATTCCCAGCTGCAGGGCTGGGAATATTTTCCCTGTCCTTCCCATTGTTTTGTCTGAAGAAGACTGAACCCTGGCTCCTGGTTCTTCTCCGTTCCTTGAGTGGAACAGAGTGTATTTTGACCAGATTGCCAGGAACATCCACTTTCATTTGTCATGGGCCATTCATTATTGCAGGTTATAACAAATTGTTACGTTCTTAAAGAATGTTTAATGGAAATAAAATGTAACCTTGTATTGAGGTCAGGTACTTTTCACCCTTCCATGACTGCTGCATTAATACTGTTCTTACATGTTTGATTTAGACTTTTACTTGGTTTGGGTTTGTAATTTCTCAATGACCAGATAGTGTTTCTCAGTGGAAGTTACCTTACATGCGGTAATCAGATTTCTTTTTTATTTCCTGACAGTGTTACCTGTTTGTATACTACACAGGCTGGAGGAATGCCAAATCCTTCCTGACTTTTGGGTTAATTTGCCTGTGTAACATGTATCTGTACGAACTGCGCAACCTGTGGCAGCTCTTCTTTCATGTGACTGTGGGAGCATTTTCTACCTTACAAATTCGACTGCGACAGCCACAGGGAAAGTCCCCGGATTACAATGTCTGACAAGTCCTGGAACATTTAGAGGCAGTCTTGTTCCAACAGTTACTCACTCTCAGGAATGTAAAGCTGTTCTCCAAAAGAAGCTGTCTGGATGGGTTTTTCTTTATTATTATTGTTTTTTTTTAATAAAGCAATGCAAGATGCCTGTGGACATTTTTCACTTGATGGTTAAACTTTTTCTTTTAATGAAGGACACAAAATAATATGGGACTAGAGGAGGAAAATAGGTTATATCCATACATTGAAATGTATGTAGGGATGCTAAGTTTGGTGAATTTGATTGGGGGCATAAAAAAGCTTAATTCACAAGTATGTTAATGGAGGGAATGTAGAGAGTATGTGTTCTGCATATCATACAAGCTCTTTGCTTCCAAAATCAGTTTTGCCTTTGTGAGGCAGTAGGGGGTAGGCTAACTAAGTAATAACAATAATGCTTATTGCATATTGGCAAACTAGGTTTGGAATATGTCAGATACTAAATTTCAGAATGTTTTGTTTCACATTGACATATATATGAATGTTTTCTTAATTAAAATGTAACCTGGAAACTGGTTCTGGGGTTCACCTGTATGGCACCTGTGGCCCTCTGTTTACTGTTATAAGTAGTTTAACATTTTTCCATTTATGATTTCCTTTTAATTATCTTTGAAAGTGGTCTCTGTGGACACAGTTTCTTTTTAGCAATTATTCAGAAAGTTCTGCCACTTAACTGAAGATTTTTGCACGCTTCCTGTGTTTGAAATCTGGGAAGGTTAAAAGGAAATGGAGTGGTGAGTAAATGGAGTGACTGGTACTTGTTGGACTGTTGTTCTTCTTTTTATATATTTTTAGAACTGGATGAATAATTTGCTCAAATGTGAGATAAATAACTGCTGACAGGAACATAATAAATTAGCTTAAACAAGAAAAGACCAGGGGTTTTAATTGTTCTTCTGGCTTTATTGGTCGGAGGATTTGTGCTGGGATAGAACCTCCTTGATCTGGAGTTGTGTGTGAGAGACCATTGTGTGCTTCTGAAGTTAGTGAATCAACCAGCAAACCCCAAATGCTTAGAAAATAGAATAGCAACCATACAGTACCCCCATCAGTTAAATGTGGTTTTTGTTGTTGTTTTTACAATTATATGGCAGTTATTTATGATGTTTCAAATTAGCAAATATATATAGGTAGATTTTTATATGTGGCCTGGAATAATAAAAGGGTGTGCTGAAACATTGGAGAAAAAAAAGCAAGCTTTGATATGCTGTTTGTGGTGTTTGATTTGGGGATTGATGTAGAAGAAAGGAGCTAGATCTTTTATTCTGTTTTAAAATAAGTAGTATTAGTCAAGAAAATGATGCAGAATACCAACCAATAAGCATTAGAGAATGAAACTGTAATTCAAAGTGAAGAGGAGCAATATGTATTATATTCTTAATATGTGTGTCTCTGATATCTGAGATCAAGACCTTGAAGATAACCTTGGTGTGCTGCCTCAGAGGTTGGTGTTGGGGGTGATGTGCTCTGCAGCTAATTCTCTTCCCTCCCCACTTTGAGATAGAAGAGAAGAAGAATATATTCATGAGCATGGTCTGCTTTTGTTTTGGGAATCCAGAAGATGAGGAAATGATAAAATGGAGGACTGGATTGAAGCATACAAGAATTTTAGGAAATGTTTATACCATAAACGTTTCAAAAATCCAGAACAGCAGCCTGTTTTTTTAGCACACAGAGGTTTGCTTGTGTTGGCATTCAGTGCCTCCTTTTGAACTCTGGACATCAGAAAAGGTGAAAATCAGTCCTTGACCATTTTAAATCAACGATCGAATGTTTTAAGTATAAAACCAGGTTTTATCTTGCTCATGAAGTCTAGAAGAGTCCTTATACCTATCTTTTCACTTCAGCATTGCTGATTGGCAAGGAAGCTATTATGAATGCCTGAAGTCCTGCTTAGTTTTTAATTCAGGTTGTTGTGCACAAGGATCTTCTGTTGCATCATTTCTTCAGTTTATATGTTGGCAGAGAATCTTGTTTTCTCTGAGATACCTTCCCTTCCTGCTGTGCCTAAAGATACATTTTTAAGGAATGAAAACTTTCGTTGTCATAGCATCTGGAACCATTATTCCATTCCAGTTATGCTGGTGTTAAACTAATTGCTGATTAGCACATATAATGAACAAATGCAACTGCCAGAGTAATGGAAGACGGGGTTTTGTCTGCTTGTTTTTACAGCACTGATAAAAATCCCATGTCAGGATGAAAAGTTAATGAGCATGACTGTTCTTCATTACCTGATATTACTAGGTGCTAAAAGCGTGGCTGTTGAACATAGTAGTTCAGTTTGACTATAATATTAAACTTGCTGAAATTTTGTGTGAGATGAGAAACAAGATACACCAGGCCATTTTGGAGGTGAAAATTTACTGAAAATTTGCAGTATTATTTCTCATTTGCTTATACAAACTCAGCATTTGGAGAAATTGAGGTGCTTCCCTACTGATTTTACCAGAATCTTGAGTTACTAGACATAGGAAGATGAACTTGCACAAAATGACTGCTCTCTTGAGCAACATGCTTTATTTTCATTTGAATTGCACAAGGCCGTTCATACTTGCTCGATTTCTTTTCTGTGGGACTTAGTAGAAGCAGAGCTCCCTTCCTGCTGTATTTATAAAGTAAGCTCTCTTTGAAGTTGGAATGAGTCCACTCAACACCCACAATACCATATTTTTCTTTGAATGGTGTCACTATTTACAGTCACTGTCAGGAAGAGATAGCCAAAAGTTTGACTGACTTCCACAAGATACATGTAGTGCTGTCTGAGGTTTGATTACTTCAGAGTCCCCTATTTGAGGTCCTAGAGACTTCATCACATTCTTCTTTGTGTGTTTTTGTTTAATATCTGAGATTTTTCTTAGTGGATTGCTCTTTTGTGTTCAATGTCTGGGCTAATATCTAGGAAAAAGAACTAGTCTTGTTTGTGAATTGTCAGATTTTGCTAGGAAATAACTTTTCAGCCCCTGGAAAATGTATAGACCCCTTTCCTTTCACACTGCTTCACGGAATACTGACACGTGTATGAGAGAAAGAAAGGTGAGGAGTGAGGTGTAGAAAAGAATGCAGCCTTCTCCAAGGGAATGTATGTGTGTGTTACTTGGATTGATTTTTAGCTATATCAAAGCTAGCAGAGAACTAGGTGATGATGGTTTCCTTTACAGGCATTGTGATTACTTAACATTCACTGTGGATTCTTTAAGATATTGATAGTCTCTTTATCAAAGGATTGAGGAACATCTGTTTAGGGAGATTGCCTTTCAGCCTCCTCCCTTTCATTCCCCATTTCCACTGCAGCTGCTATGGTATGACTGGTTTTTGCTTTCATGGTTTGTATTGAAAAAAAGCAGCCCATCAACATTTGCAAAGACTAAACACATGCTATTTTGAATCAGCTTCTTGTCAGAATAAGTAGCATTCTAGAGAAGTGTTACGGCTTCCAGAAATCCACACATTCTGAATGTTGTTAGTATAAAGGGATGTCTTACAGGAGGGCTTTTCCCAGATGGGTAAGTGGTGAGAAGGGTAGCAGCAGGGGGACCGCTTCAGTGGCAGTTGCATTCCTGTGTTGACGAGAGTCCAGCTGATCTCGCAACAGGGGTCAGAGGAACCCTGGAGAATTCGGCTACGTGTGCAGTTCTTGTCAAAGCTGGTCTGATATTCCAGGTACTGTTTAATTTAGTAAGGTTAAATTGTCTCTCAGTATCTATACCAGCTTCTTTTACTTAACAAAATTGTGGTTCAACTGTATTGATCAAATTGGTTGCTAATAAATTTGATGGAGCACTTTTGGCAATTGCTACACCCACATTTGCTATCTTGACTTCACAGAGCTATCAAAAAGTTATTCTGACTTCTTAGAGCATTTACGGAGTCTTTGTTTCCCCAGATAACCTTTCTGGCAAAGCCTCCTGAGACAGATAGATGACAGGTACCTGTTCAGAAGGTTTTAAGGTACGCTTAGCAGGGGTGGCATAGGTGCTGTGCAGCTACCTGCCTCTGATACAGCATGCAGAGCTCCAGCCTGGGTGTCCTGCTCAGCTTGCATCAGGGACATGTGAGAGATGCTGTAGGATTATCCTGCTAACCTGTACACTGAGCAGAGTTTGAGAACATGCCCTAGTTACCAAGCATCACACAAAGCTTGAGAGCAAATGAGCATGTGCTCCATCTCTTGTACTGAAGCTGCTCTGGAAATACCATAAGAAGAGAGCAAGGGAGAAGGACATCATCAGCTGGGTGTTTCTGTGCTCACCTAGTCGGGGGTGTTGTGCCTGCTTTCCACATCAAACATGACATTAAATAGTTCCAGACCCAGCTCTAATCTGTCTTCCTCTTGCCCATTTCAGGACACAGACTGTATCTTTATAGTTCTACAGGCAACCTGAGGTTGTTTCCTAGCAAGAAGGAGGTGTGTAGCAACAAGATGACACTCCATAGCTCTCCTGGTGGTCTCTCCCTGTGCGCCAGGTGTGGCTACACTGGAATGCTGTGCTGTGTCTCTTACTGAGCAGCTGAAAAGGAAAGGTAGGATGTCCATTAGCCTGTATTTCATTTCAGACTGAATTGCAACAGTTACTTGAAGGACAGGAGAGGTCCAAGCATACCTGAGTGGTGAGAGCAGGAGAGTCCTGCTCTTAGCTCCTCAGTAAAGGCAGGAGTGAAAACTATTGCTCTTGATGGCACAGCAGGGTTGCTGGTAATGGTTTTGTCCGGGCTTTGGTTGTTGTGAACTCAGGGTTGTGTGACCAGCCCAAGGTTGTTGTGAACTCAAGGTTCACAGCGCCAGCTTTGGCCTTTATGGCTCCTGTTGGAACTTGGGCTGCAGCACGTAAGAAGGGATTTGCCACTAGGTGGGGAGGCCTTGTGTGGAGCCTTTTGCGGGCACCCTTGTAGCTAGGAGCAGCAGCAGCATGTACAGTAGGGTTCTGTGGTGCACTATTAACTGCTGTGCTGCTGGGGAGGGTGGTGTCCGTTAGATGGTGGCACACACAGCCTGGGGTGGTTATTTTTTGCTTATCTGTAGTTGGATTTGATGGTTTGTGTATCATCAGTTACTTTGGAAGGAGTGGCTGCTCTTAGGGGGAGACATGCCCTCCCTTTCCCCTGTGATGGAAGGGGTCTTCTTGTCTCAGCCTGAGCTTGTGGCACTGCTCAGCAATCATGGTAGTTGGGCTAAAACCGCACAAGTCTGTTCCAGTAGATGGCAATAGTTATTTGCAGGTGAAATTCTGTGTTTAAAGAAAAGATCTCTGAGCCCAGCTGCTTACAGGGGAAGCTCGCTTGCTCTGACTGTTCTCCTGTGGAGCTTTTTATTCAAATGGCACCTGTGCTGTGCCAGCATTGCCTCTGAGCTTGTCAACACTGGGTTCTCACCATGCTGTAATTCTCACCTGGCACCCACCACTTCCTTACCCGCTCTTCTTGGCACCGGCTTTCAGTGGGAGCTGTGAAGAATGGGGTTGGCACCAGCAGTGCAGCCTTGTTACCATTGCTGCAAGCCAAATGCCAGGGCAGAGCAGGGCGAGTGGGGACTGTGGACTGCTCAGGGGCAGAAATTGGAAAATAGAACCTTGCGTTATAGACAAGCTGCCTGTCTGTCACATGGCAGAAAAACAGTGCTGCTGCTGTCTCCCATCCCATCAGAAGTTCAGTGTTCTCAGTCCTGCCCCAGCCTGCCCAGGTGCTCTGGCTTTATCAATTGAAAATCCTGGGACCAAATGGATCAAGAGAGTGTAATCTGAGGGGTTTCATCTTAAAACAGTTGATCTGCACTTTTTCAGGCTGCATCCCAACCTTTCTCTCCCAAACTTCAAAGTTTGGGAGTGATGATGCCCTGAGGAGCAGTCAGAAAGGTTAACAGAATGAAAATACTTGCTCCATGGCATAGATGCTGGCCAGATGTTGGTGCCCACGTGTATTGTGTAAAGCACAGACAGCAAGGCCAGGGATACTGGCAGTGCAGGGAACACGTGTAAGAAATCTGGTGCGTCCCAAATGTATCATTCTATTATGTGCAGGCAGATACTTGAAGCAGCCAGCTTTGTGTTGGAGAGAAGTGGCTGAACACCTTAAAATTCACCAGAATGCTTTCTGGACAGAAAAAAATGCATGTAGGGAAAATCATTCAGCCTATCAGTGTGTGCAGCAACTTAAATGGGAGAGCAGAGCACTGGAGGCTACTGGCTTCCTTCCCTGGTAATACCCATCTCCAGATAGTTTCAAAAATTGCTTGTATGAGATGATGTCCTAAATTGCATGATTATATAAGATAATATATAAAGTATTAAATAGTTCTTCACCATCTTTCTTAGCCTGATACTTGAAGTATTTCATGGCTTTTTTGTTAACACAACTATTTTCTCAGTACACTTATAAAACCCCTCCTAGCAGATAGGAGCTTGCAAGTAAGTAATTTGTTTCTTAGTTGCCTATGGTCTTCTCAACCAAATAAGTCAGTTGACAGCTGCAGCTTATTGTTTGTCAGTTATAATTCAGGCTTCTGTTAATAGATAGATAGCATTATGTGGAGCATTTACTTCTACCTGTAAAGACTGGAAATGTTGCATGGCAAGCAGAGCTGCCACCTTCCAGGTGTCCTTGAGAGGACAAGTACCGAGGTACCTGGGGAATTTTTTGGTGACGGTGGTGTACTTTATAAACTACACACAATTTTTATTTTATTTTATTTTTTTTTTTTAATAGGACATAGACACAGAATAATTTAAGCTGTTCAGTTATACCAGTATATTTACCCACAGTGCCACGAGGCTTTGTCAGCTCTGCTGAGGCTACCCTTTCAGGGCAAGTGGGTGCACAAGAGGGACCCGGGGGATGTTCAGGGTGCAGTCAAGACCTTGCTGCTCTCTGTACTGGGTACTGCGTAGCACCAGTGTGGTCAAGCAGCCACCTGTTGATGCTGGTCAAGAAAGGGATGTTTCCGTTTGCAGATTCAGTATCATCTCCTACACAGCTTACATATGATCACTAGCCAGGTGCAGCAAAAATAAAACAGAGACACTTTACCAGTGAAACAGTGTTTAATATAGTTAAATTACTTAAATAGATTTCAATTTCCATGGGAAATCATAACTGTATCCATTTTTGCAAGATCCAGAGTAAAGAGTGTGTGAATACCCCTTGAAATGATCATGACGCACTGTCAACAATCACAGCTAGAGATACGGGGGACTTGAAATTTCATTGACAACACAACTTTATAAGATGAATCAAAAGTTAAGAAGACCGCAGACTTTCATAAAGCAGAAAGCAAACCTAAAACCGAGTTTATGGCATGAAGGTAATGAATCTGAGTGAGGGGGCAAAAAGGGATGGAAGGTGGAGAGGGGAAGAAAGGTGTAACAGCATGATGCAACAGAAATATTTTGCAAACCAGGGAAGATGTAAAGGAGCAAAAGTATAGTACAAGGGCAGACTTGGCAGTTTTACAGAAGTCAATATACTATACTTTTCAGAGATGTTTCCTAGTGGAAGGGAGAAGGAAAGGGGCGATGCCATTTAAGCTCGTGTTTAAATGGCTTAATGCTTAGGTTATGCTTAGCAGTATAGCAAATTAATCAAGACAGGCCCATGGATTTTCACTTCTTCTTGTTGAGTAGGAAAAAATAAATCACCACCACCATAGTGCAATCAATAAGCTGTTAGTACTACAGTAATTCTGCCCTGAGAAGAGTGGAAAAGAACTTTATTAAATGTCAAAAGATTGGAGTAATTTTTAGTTCTAGCCAAATTCAATATCAAAACTCTCCCATCATAGAATATAAAAAATATAGCATTTTTTAAAATTCTTTTTTTTAATAAAATATCAAGGGATTTTTCTTTAATAGTTAAAAAAGGTACATAAATGATAACAGTGAACTATTCATAAAGCCCCTATTAGTGATAAAGATGTCCAATACAATATCAATGGCACTGCATTTTAAGGTTGACCACCTCGTATATATACACTTGCCATCATAACCTTTTTTGAAGATCACCTAATTCCTGAAAATTGAAAATCTGTGACTCAGTTTAAATAAGTGCCTACTACAAGAAAGTCAACTGGATGCTGCAGGACATAGTTCCTTGTAATGTCAAATGGCAGTTATAATATCAGACAACTCTCGTATCAGCAGGATTCTGTTAAGACCATCTATGAAAAATCATTTTTTAAAACAAAAAGTTCGAATAAGCTAATTTGTTTTTCTTCTTATGAGAGCTCATGTTAGCATTAGTTAGAAGATTTGCTTAGAGCTCTTTCTGACATGTTTGACGTGATACCGCCTCGGTAGCTAAAACTCAAAGGTCCTGTTTCCATTTGTTAAGATGCCGCCTTCTGCTTGAACGCTGCATGGAACAACTGTGTGACTACCACGTTTGGGTTTTTCCTCTTCTTTGGGGTTGTAGAATTTTCTGGATTTTCATTTTAAAATGCGTCTGATTCAGGCTGGAAACTCACCTGTTTGTTGTTGGTTGATTGTATAGTGATAATCTGAAAACTGCCAAGTCTGTGTTCAGAGTATTATGCAGAAAAAAATTACACAAGAGTCTACAGGTTATATACACCTCCCACCACACCTTGGTGTGGCCAGCCTGCCTGCTAATTTATATATAATTTACAAAATATAGAATTTGGTATATCTGTTAGAGCTCCATGTTTTCAATATTACAAAATAAAAAATACAAAAAAACCCACAACAAATTTCAGGGGAGTTCCCCCCCACAAAGTGTCTCTTGTTTACATCTAGTCTTTCCCGTGTAAACTAATATATACCAAAGAAGAGCACAGAAGACTTTTTAATAAATACGGTTGTAGAGCCATCGTTCTTTATCTTGATCTTCCCCTTCATCGGATGTGCCAGGCTGACTCAGAAGAGCAGTCATTTAGCCATGTAAAAGAAGGGAAAAGAGGGGGCCAGGGCTAGGATATCTTTTCACACTAAACCATTACTGATGCCATTTTAAAAGGCCTTTTTGTGTGCTGCAACAGTGGGTGTCAGTTTTGAAAGCCATTCGAAACAGCTAATAAAAGCACAGTGGTACACTTCAAATAGCTGGCAGTATGGGATGGAAACATTATGGGAGTGCAAATCCATTCCAAAATAATGCTTTGTAGTGAATCATACATTCCTTCAACCAAGTAAATGTTGTGTTGCGTCAATAAATACTTAAATAGCTTCTTAGATCATTCTGTGGTAGCAGCCTTTTTAAAAAACTCCAAATTTATGTCTTATCTGTGAATTCTGTAGTACACATCTTTGGTCGACTTAGCACTCAGCCAGGAACAACTCCAAGGTGGTTTCTTTCAATTGCCTTTTGTGATGGGTGGCCAAAGAGTTTGCTGATATCAGCTCTAGAGTCATGGTGTGAAATTTCAACTGTGGTGCGTTTTCAGCTTCACTGCCAAAAAGTGATTCTTCTCCAATTCACAATCTCATGTAATGCAAATTCCATCTTTGAGTGATGCTTCAATCAGTGCTAACTAATTGGAGGCCCTTCGTTTAGAAAGTAGGTGGTCATTTCTCCTTTGCCTTTGACCTTAATGACCCCTCGATATTCCAGCTGATAGTTGTTGGCTACTAAAACCTGGTACATGTCTGTGGTTACCTGCAGAATAAACAAGAGTAAGCAGATGCTCGTCATGCCTTCCACACAGTGTTTTCATTCGCTTTTGGAGTAATCCATGCACAAAATTAAAGTAGGATCAACTAGTTTGTTTCTAAGTCAGTAGACTTTTCCAGATCAATCAGTAACTAAAAGGTTGGCACAAACTGCAGAACAAATGCAACCTTTGGAAACAGAAGCTACGTAAGTCACACTTGATACACAACTGGGGAGGTAAAAGGGGGAGGAATACATTTTTTGAGGCAGTCAAAGGATAAAAAGAAACAAATGAGTCACATTTTTAAAAACACAGCTGGCAGTTCAGTCTACTGAGATGCATTCATTATATCACTGGTAGTAGGAAACCAGGTTAAGCTTATATTAAAAATCATCAAAAAAATACTTAGAAATTACACAGTGGATGTGCAGTTTAGAAGGGGTCATTCAGAGGGGTGGGTTTTGTTTTTTTTTTATGAAGGAGAAGGTAGCAGGCAATGAGAAAGACTGAACAAATGAGATACAGATAACCTAGCCAGCATCCAAATTCTGTCTGCAGGCGCCACTCAAAAATAATCGCTTATGCTGCAGCATAACAGAGGTTTGAAGACCAGACTGCCTAAGATTATTTATTTATTGCAGTGTATTTTCTCACCCCTTTTCAGGTGGCTTTAAGTATTTCCACTTCTGGCTTGCCGTGGCTGCAACGTTGCTGTGCTGATTTGCTTAATTGTTCACAGACCATCTCGTAGGAAAGTTTAAAGAGTGTTGGATAAATATTGATCCAGTTAACTGACAGCTTAATTGAAAAGAAGCATGGCTTCCTCTCTTAGGTTTTACATCAGTTTAACTGTTTTTATATCCCTTCAGTACTTTCCCAACAAATGATAGTCTCTTACTGCGAACATTGGCTTAGCCAACTTGGAACAGTGGAATTGAATCACTGGAAAGGTCTCTGTCTGAAGGCCAAGGAGATATTTGATTACAAGATAGCTTCCATTAATCCCTGAAACCATCCTCTTTCTCTGGTTACATATCCCCATCCCACTGATGCCTGGATCCTTGCTAGCCTCAGAACGCATAGAGGATTATGAACAGAGAAGTGAATTACAGAAACACGTATCTGAGTCAAGTCCTTGAAAAATAAAACAGCCTACAGCTGCATGCAGCTGAACAGCAAAAGCGGCAGCATGAGTGAGTAAGCATCACAGCAGGACTGTTCTCATAGGGCCAGTGAGGCATGTGGGGAAGGAAGGTCAGGTCAACACTTCCACCCCAAAACTGCAAGTTTTTGACTAAAGGTTGCAAAGTTGGTCAAGATTAAAAGGCAAAACATGATGGTACCACTGGCATTCCTCAGCTGGCTTTTCCTTCAGTACTATGTATGTATGTTAACTGTATGACATAAAGGAATAAAATCAAACCAAAATTCCAATTCAGATCATGTTTCAAAACCCGTAAGTAAGTGACACAGGGCTGGCAATGTAAGTAAGTTATCCAGTGAATTTCTTACCTGAATCCTGTCAGGCACACCTGTACTGTCCATTCGGCTAGCTACATTCACTGTGTTGCCCCATATGTCATACTGGGGTTTGCGTGCTCCTATCACCCCAGCTACAACAGGACCAATATTGAGGCCTGGAAGGAGAGGAGAAATCCCACAGCTCTGAGATCCACATGAAGCTTGAGGCAAGTTATTTTTCAGACAACAAAATAGCAACCTAAAGTTCATTTGTTCTAACTGTGCTTTACCTGGCATGTAAAGCTATAGCCAGAATGTGTGGAAAGAAACTTCTAAGTTTCTTTAAGAAGCTTCTTTGATCCACTATGCCTGTCTGACTGGCAGAATGGGCTGGATCTGCTCAATCCAAAGCTACTCTCCAGTACCAGATAACAGGATAAGGTTTATTTGCTGTCTGGCTGCCAAGCAAAGTGCAAACTTGGAAGTCAGCACACAGCTACTGCGATGCTGGGCACCTGTGACACAGCAGCCTAGCAGCTTTCCAGAACAAATACCACACTCGACATCATCACATTTCTTCTCCTTCTCCTGTTCTCTTTTCATTCCCTGACTGGAAAGACAATTTAATGTCCAAGAATGGCAGAGCTGAGGACCACAGAGGGTGTGAGCAGGGAGCACATCACAGGTAAATGAGCCCAAGCTCAGCTACCATTTGAGACCATGCTGTGGTAAGAGCACAAGTCCAGATGCCATTTGAGACCATGCTGTGGGTTCGTTCCCCAACTGCTCCTAACTCTCTAGGGAGCCTCAGTAATAACGCTGCTATCCTAACAAAGCTGCTCTGATGTTTCATAGAAGCCAAAGTGGTCACCAGACACAAGACAACATCACTGTACAGCTAAGGTAACATCTATGGTTTTTACCTCCCTAAAATCCCCAGCTCAGAATAACCGCTAGCTATACTAAATCCCTTAAACACAGTGACATTACCTATCTTCATCTGGAAGTTGTTGAATGAATGTTCATTAATGTATTTCATTTGGTCCATTAACCTCATGGCAAAATCAGCCAGAGCTTTGATATGTGTCTTCCCTTCCTTGTCGTATGTGGAATCGTTGAGGCCTGATGCGGCCATGTATGTACTGCCGATGGTCTTGATCTTTTCCAGCTGCCGGAATTGGTCTTCACTTATTATCTGTTTCACAAGAGCAAAAGACGTGAATAAACCTTGACAAACACATACATGCTGCTAATGTCCTCGCCACATGTCATTCCTTGGTACAAGTACTACAAAGTACTGCGCAGAGCCTCCACTACTCAAAATATAGGAAGAAAAAGACTTAGATATTCAAAGAAGGAGCAACAAGGGAATGAAAGGGATTTTAATGTGAAAAAAGTAGAATTAAAAGACATCTAGAGTGAGGAGAAATGAACTGTGGCACAAGGATTTCAATAAGCCACCTTCCTCCAGGAGCTCAGCAAAGCCCAGCTAAACTCATTGATTCGGTTCACTCTGTCCACCCAGACTTTCTGTGACTTACTTCATCAAAATCAGCAATGATCTCGTTGAGCAGTCTCAGACACTCCACTCCTTCGTTATTGGCCTCCAGCTCCACGTAAAACTCTGAGAAGTTGCTTATGGAGGCAAACATGACAGCCACACACTCGCAGGACTGGTAGTACAGTTCATCATTTCGCCGCTCCTGAGCCAAGAAATGGGCTGCCACGTCCTTCGGCAAAATGTTGTGGAGGA